CGCCTCCCTGTCCTCCACGCCAGAACAGATTAACGGTAATTACATTGAACCTTATGGGAAAATTTGCTTCGGGTCGCGACCAATTCGGGTCGCGGAACCAATTAAGTTCGTGAACCGAGGTTCCACTGTACTGTTTTCATCCACCAGATCAATGGAGCTAGATATCAGTTATGGAAACTCCCATCCCTCAGTTGCTGAATAGCTGCTCCCGAATTCTCCAGGAGGAATTAGCAGGCTATTGTGGAGCACACCAATGAAGTATGTTTTGTAAGCAACTAAGGCCCTGAAAATAAATACCTGACAAAAAGTCTAATGTGTGCTTTAGATAAAATCTAAAGGCCCTGCATACATCCTGTTTATGCCAATTATATTTCCTCGGAAGTATAAGTACACATAAATGTTCTGAGTCCTCAGATTAGCTACTGGGGGCTACTGTTAGATTGAAGAATAGAGCCAAAAACTGCCTCCCTTCTGGAAAGGAACTATTTTAGGACCCTGTCTTCTCATTAAAAAAGGAGTTAACCCTATTCTATTGGCTCCATCAATCTGGTGACCAAAAAAAGAAAATTAAATTCAACTCAGAATTCATTTGAATTCAATAAAGAGCCCTGTTTCTAAGTTAAAACAGTCCCCTGATTCAACAGCATCTACTGGCAATCTTAAGCATCCAAGACAACTATAATAAATTCAAAATAATAATAATTTCCCCCATATCAGCCATGTAAATGGCATTTCACAAAGGGATCTGACAGGCCTCTAACTCATGTGCTTTCAATTTTTAAAAAAAGCGAACAAAAAAATTGGAGAGGGAGAAATGGAGGCAGAACTAAAGAGAAGAATGTACAACATCAGCTGTTTTGCTTAGTTATAACAGGACAGCCTTTTGCAATTGAGCATTTTCCAGATGTTTTGGGACTGGGAATTACAATCCCACAACTGAATGATGCCAGACTGGAATAGGGTGCAATTGTTCCAAAGGCTTCATGGAAATAAATGATATAGAGCTCGAACAGTAATTTGGCTTTGAAGGTAGCACATTTTTTAAACCGCTCTGAGGGAATTCATCATGTGAGTTCTGTATGCTCTGGACAGGCATACAGCAGCTTACAGCAAAAGCAGTGAGTGGAATTTTAATTAAAATATAAAACTATCAAGGAATTCAGGCATTGTAAGAATGAAACAATGTCTTTTCAACCATGCATGGAATGCAACATAGTTCCACTTCTAAATCTTTAGGTAAAATAACTGACCTTCAGAGGAACCACATTTATGCTTCCCATGAAATAGGAGACAAACGTTAATCTTCCATCCTCATTTTCTAATCATACTTCTATTTTTGTGTTGACATCCTGATTATTAATAGACAATTAAAAAAAATCTTCAGCTTCTGATGCTAAAATTGCCTCCAGTGCTTTGGGCTTCCTACGGGCTTGCGTACAAAGTTCAGAAGCAGTATTGGATTTGCTTACGTAATCAAAATACAAACTGGGCTTTAAAAAACCCAACTCCACCAATTATGAAAGTTCATGACATATCAACATCTTGCAGAAATATATAGAACTGCAAATTAATTCGCACTTAGCAACATCCTCACAGTAATGCAACATAAGCCAAATGATGTAGTTAAAACATGACTGAATGTTATGTTCCAATTAAACATTCTCTGAAATACAATTCTGAAGTAACTTCTGATATAGTGTGCAACCAAATTTTATTATACATGCATACAGTTTGACTATTATATGCTTGGTAAGCTTTAGGAGGCTGCACTCTGCATCCTCTTATGCCCTGTTGATCTTGAGCTTTAAGGTGCATTTAAGTTCAGATTTTGCTGGTTTGTAGGGTACAACAGGGTTATATTTATTTATTAACTGTTGTAGTTCATGTATTTGATTTATAACCTGCCTTTTGTCAAGGCGTACAAATTTAATAAATAAATAAATAAACTCAAGGTGGCATAGATAGTACCCTTTCCTCCTGTTTTCCTATACAACTGTGTGGTAGGTTGGGCTGAAAGAGAATTAGTGGATCAAAGTAACCCAATGAGCTTCACTGGCTGAGGGCAGAATATCATTGGTGTTAGCAGCAACATTTTTTAGAACCACTCTAGCCCAGCAATGAGCAACACACTACCTCAGATGGCCTTGTGTCTGGGAGGCAGACAAGCTGACAAAAAAGCTATTGGTTGAATTTATTTAATGGGTAGACTGATAAACCAGACTGCATGCCACCTGCCACCCAACCTACAGAAAAACTGGCTAATAGGATGCTTTAAAATTGCAAACAATGGAAGCAGTATTTTCGATGGGGACTTTTTATAATGATTTCCAAACAGTGGAGTCCTTGGGGTTCTCTGAGCTTGGTTCCTTTCTTGCAAACTTTTCATTACCCGGCTAGGTAACATCTTCAGTGCTAGAATGGGATGGGATTAACACTGAAGATGCTACCTAGCCGGGTAATGAAAAGTTTGCAAGAAAAGAACCAAGCTCAGAGAACCCCAAGGACTCCACTGTTTGGAAATCATTATAAAAAGTCCCCATCGAAAATACTGCTTCCATTGTTTGCAATTTTAAAGCATCCTATTAGCCAGTTTTT